CAACATGCATTAGATTCTAATGGACACAGCAAACATTCGTCATGCGATTGAATAATGCCCGCTCGATCACCACATTTAATGATAAACGCTCTACAATTTGTTAACTAAGTATAGCAATTTAATATTGATCATAGAGAATCAAACTAATCTTGCTATAAACTATTTTTATTTGAATCCTATTTATATTGTAAGGAAGCAATGGACAAACAAAGGCACGCGGGCCAGATGTGGCCCGCCCCAACGTTCTATCCGTCCCTCCGCATATTTTAAAACAATAGTATAGAAATTGAATTGAATTATTTCTTTCCATTTTTGGTCTACTCCTAAAAGTCCAATATTTGTCCACTTCGTAAATATGTCAATAACACTACACATTATTACAGTGTCAACTTAGTTTGCGAGTTTCCAAGCGAATGATTGATGCAACTAACTATTTTATCTCATCAATAACTACTAACGTTACTGTAGTAATAGATTAGTAGATAACTCAAAATAAATCAATAACAAAATTGAGAATATTCATCAACTGATAGATAAAATTTCTATGATTCTTCGGAAGCAAATTTGTGTGTTCAACAATTCATATTTGTAATCAGTCTTCCACACACATTTATGAACTGTCAAAATGCAGTTAACAAATTGGATTAGCGTTACGATAGGGTTGAGCGACGGCGGGAGCAAATCGTTACACGAAGCGCGCCACAAATTTATGATAATTTCATTGTAACACGTACGCGTTTTGATGTGAATACTACTAGATAAAATCAAATGCGAAAATGTTTGGTCACATTCATAGGCCAAAATTTACGTAATTTGGTATATTGATTAATAATTTGTCATATGTAAAGGATATGGCGGATATATCCGCCGATCGTCCAAAAAGGGGTTAATAATTTTATTTTCTAAAATAAACAGATTTCTACGTTATAATTTACGTCGCGTTCAAAAACTATTTCAGGAATAGAAATTAACAGTGCATGTCATAACAATAACATAACATAACAATAGCATTTTATGGAAAAAATAAAATAAACATAGAGTTTTAAGATAGTCGAAGAAGTCTTCATTAACGTCACGGTGTTAATTGATATATAATTCGAACTTACGTAACCTCTTCGTGTCTGTTTTCACCCAAAACTCATAAATTTTTTATTTGAAATAGAAAAAAGAAACAAAATAGAACGAAAATAAGTTTCCAGTTAATAAAAATATACAATAATAATATTGTATATCGACAATATATAAATTTATCATGTCGTTATTTACGTGCGTGATAATTCAAGAAATCCATTGATGTGTTCATATTTAGATTCCTCGAATTCCTTCAATCTCAGTTTACTAATTCCTTTTTCAAAATGCATAATCTATCTTCGGATGACCTTCTTTTCACTATCAACGGAATTGTATTTAAGAAGTGATTAGATTATCAACGCTACTTTACAAAAAAAAACATAACATTTTATTACTATAAAAATCAAGAAACGCTTGTAGACAAAACCAAAATAATGTTATTAGAAATGAAGGAAAAACTTGGACAATAAGAAATTAGTTCAAATACTGTACGAGTTGAAAAGTAAAATAGAATTATTTTTTTTTGCAGGTAACGTATTTTTAGATTCTCTTTACTCAATTAACCTAAATCCCGAAACTTCTTCTTTCTCGAGCGTAAATCGACTAACATGAATTATACTCTCTTTCTCATTCACTCTCATTCCCTTTCGAATCATTTAGGAAAACATGAATCATCTTCTCTTCTCTTTTTCTCACGAAATAAAATGAACGTGCGCACATCTCTCGCTCTGCATTTGGCACAGGTTCAACCTGTTTCAACAAGCCTCATCGCCAATTTCATTCATGTTTCCATTTGCCCTAAACTTGCCAAATAACCTTTATTCTTTATTAATTTTATTGCATTTACCACTAAAGCAAAGAATCCATTGTCTGAGGAATTATCATATTTTTCGCAGTCGCGAAACGAATTAATTATAACTTTATAATCGCGCTGTAACTGGAACGCCAAAAGATTATATTTTTTTTAATCGGAGTAATGAAATTCATAACGATATAATTGAAATTTGTATAACTTTTTTCATAATAAAATAATCAATGTTTTTCACATTTTTTTTTAAGTAAAAGCAATTATTTTCTTCATTTATACTGTTTTTATATATTCATTATTTTAATTTGTTTTTAATGCATAATTGAGATTAATCATGAGTAATTTTGTTAAATTTATGAGTATATTTATTGAAATTGTTATAATTACACCTGCTTTTTTTTAGATAAATGTTTCTTCAATTAATACGTGATATTTTCTTTTTCATCGTCTTGGCCTTGTGCTTGCAATGTTAGCGTATAGCAAAAAATGCTAAATAAGGATTTTTTTAATATATTGTCGTTCACTAAGTAGGTTTCATAACGCGAAGTGCTGTTGTTAGTTTATTTCTGCCAAGCCAGCAATTCGCGGTATTTACTTTATAGTACACGCAAAAAAAAAAGAAGTTTAATTGCAAATTACGAGTAGTGAAGCAAAGTACAAGACATGTAATTTGCATTATTATGATCGTTTTGGACATTAGTGCGCAAGTACACCGGTTATTTATAACTTTAATCTAATCTATTACCTGTAAATTTGATTGCGAAAATTAGATAAATGCGAATTCACAAAATTACAATATTTCATTCAATTTTCATGATGATTTAATAAACATTTCATAAGAGTACAGTCGTTCTGCAACATTTCTTTCTTTGCATTCTCGCGTCCTCCAAATGGAAAAAGTATGATTCATGGAATTCTGTTTTCATGAATAAATTTCAGGCTGGACATAAAATCCATAATTTTTCTTCGCATAAACGACTTTGAATAAATGTGGGACAACGTGTGAGCAGAAAGTCATATACCTCGCATAGTGCGGATTCGCTGTTGTACGGTATAAAAATTTCAAAAGAATAAAGATTTTAATTCAGTCTTTACACAATCAAATTCAGTTTATATTTTGGATATAATTAGTTGCTCGGTTTCAAACAGATCGGAGGAACCAAATTACCCACACTATGCGAAGTATTGCTGTATGTTTTCATAACAAGTTTTCTAAAAGAAATAGTATATAAAATTACTTTTTCGAATACTGTCAAAACTCTTTCTGTGCTGTTCATTTCCATGTGCTTTTAATGTCCTCAATTAGTCCGGTTTCAAACGGTTTGAAGAAACCAAATTACCCGCACTATGCGAGGTATAGCTTTAAGCTTTAATAACAAGTTTTCTAAAAGAAAAAAGTACACAAAATTACTTTTTCGTATACATTCAAGACTCTTTCTATGCTGGTTTTAAACTCCTCAATTAGTGCGGTTTCAAACGGTTTGAAGGAACCAAATTACCCGCACTATGCGAGGTATTGCTGCATGCTTTAATAACAAGTTATCTAAAAAAAAATATTACACAAAATTACTTTTTCGTATACAGTCAAGACTGTTTCTATGCTTATTTTAAAGTCCTCAATTAGTCCACTTTCTAACGGTTTGAAGGAACCAAATTATCCGCACTATGCGAGGTATTGCTACATGCTTTAATAACAAGTTTTCTAAAAAAAATAGTACTGAAAATTACTTTTTCGTATTCAGTCAAGACTCTTTGTATGCTGGTTTTAAAGTCCTCAATTAGTCCGGTTTCAAACGGTTTGAAGGAACCAAATTATCCGCACTATGCGAGGTATTGCAGCATGCTTTAATAACAAATTTTCTAAAAAAAAATAATACACAAAATTACTTTTTCGTATTTTGTCATGACTCTTTCTGTGCTGTTCATTTCTATGTGGTTTTAAAGTCCTCGATTGCTCCGGTTTCAAACGATTTGGAAAAACCAATTTCCCGCACTATGCGATGTATTGCTGTATGCTTTAATAATAAGTTTTCTTTCAAAGAAAATAGTACAGAAATTTCATTTTTCGAATACAGTCTAGATTTTTGTGCTATTTATTTCTATGCGGTTTTAACGTTCTCAATTAGTCCGGTTCGGATAATTTTTTCGCACTTCGCGAGACATTGCTGTTTGTTTTCATAATTAGTATACAAGTCAACTCTTTCAAATAGTTCGGAGGAACTATACGAGTATTTTGTAAAATATAGTACAATTAGTTATGAAAATTCTCACTGTTTCATATCAAAATAAAGTTTTTTTTTTCATTTAAATTTGGAAAGAATTGTTATGAAAACTTATATTTAAATGTTTAATTTAAAAACTTGAATAAGTATATCAATCAATATAGCAAAGACGAAATTGCATTTTTTTTCTGAATATTTATGATATAGTTAAATATAAAAAGTTTTTTTAAGAATATCTTCTTCTCTTAAAATATTGAAGTTTTTTTCATAAATCTATCCTAATTATAACTATAGCAATACCTCGCATAGTACAACTTTCATTGCAAATAATTTAAATCTTAATTGAGCAAAAATGATTTTGTTCTTTTCTCTTTATTTTCATGATGTTTTAAAATCCTCGATTAGTCCGGTTTCAAACAGTGCGGGATATTCAATGTATTTACTGCTCTATTTACTTTTTAGTTATCTTATTTATATTTGTAAAATTATCAAAATTAAACGTTAAGAATTAAGTCATTTATTATATTGTCTTTATATGTATATGTTACATATATAGTATGGAAATGCAACAAATTTATATATATTAAAGTTGCTTCAATATTAAGAGTACAATATGAAGTGTGTTGTGTTGAATTGTCGCTAATTTCTGAGAATTTGTATGATTGCTAGAGCGAGGGAATTCCAGAGAATTGAGGAAAAAAACCTCGAAAATTAATTAGCGTCTCATCTCTGAAAGGCGCATTTCCCGTGCTTGTTTTCATTCATTTAATTTATGTTTTTTCTCTTCTATTCAAATCGAACGTGATAAATGCAGGTATCTGCTATTTGCTGAGGACGATAAGGATTGGAGTGGCTCGTTACATCAGCGAAATTTTCCGTGTAATAATAATAATAATACCTAGGAGGAGCAGCTTGACGTCTTTTCGCGCTTTGATTCCATCCTCTCTTATGGTCTGATCAATCTTCTTGCTTCTGGCTTGTGCAGCCCTCTCCTCCGCCGAAACGGTGCACCCCATGGTGAAGACGTCCGCGCACGACGTTTTGATGGATTGACGGAAATCGCCGCACCCACACTCACAATAAGAAAAGAAAGAAAAAAGCCCTGGAGAGAACGCAAAACCTCAGCAGATAACCTTGACCATCTTTCCAAAAGATTGAGCTATTCCATTTAGGTAATTTGGAAACGCACAGAAACTGAACTGCAACACAAACACTCGGTGAAGATGTACGGACGACGCGAAATCTCGTTTACTTGATTCACTAACGGAATAATTGCACACTTTTATTTGGATGTGTGTGATGATGGATATGAGTGCGCGCGATATACGACTAGACTAAAGTCAAGCGAACGACTGTCGTTCGTGCTTTACTCGTATGCACACTACACACACTCGCTCCCCGCTCGTTTTTATCAGGAGGAACGAGATTACCGAAAAGCCAGGCATACATATCGGCAGATGGTTGGTATTTGTACCCCTCCTCGCATCCCTGACCAAATACGTACAGCAAATAAGGCATGTGTTGAATGCCGAAGCCCAAGCATCTCATCCCGCCATAAAAACGAAGGGAGAGAAGACTTGTTTGCATCTTAGCCTTCTTCGCAAAAAATGTAAATAAATACATAAATTTTTATTATTTCAAGTAAACTAAACACATCGTGTATACATAAGCCAACGTTTTGTTTATTTAAATAAATAATACAGTCGTATTTGTCCATAAAATTATATGTTTGTAAACTATTTCTGTGAACATGAACATAAGACAACAAAATTAATGCTATTGAAAAAAAAACACAAAGTTTTATAAACTTTAATAATTCATGCAATTTTTTCATGTTATTATATAATTATTGCAATACATTAATATTCGTATTTTATTATATGTAAACGTATCCATAGTTTTCAAAAAAAGCAACGATTTTAATAAAAACATGGAAGCTACAAACATAAAATAAATTCTAGTTAAAAAATTTCACAGTATCTCTCGATCATTTCTGTTGAAAATGCAATAAACACATCGTAAATAAAGAACTTAACCAGACAATTCTACGGTTGTTGACATTTCAAATCAAAATAAAGATACACAAAAGAAAACAACAATTTCGTATTTCACTGTTTAGTCTCGACTATGGATTGAGACGCAACTAAAACATATTTATTTTTATGCAATGATTCATGTTTTCTTTTTAAATTTCGTACTTAAGTTTATATATAAATATAATTTTATCGTTGTTGTCAATAAATTATATTATTATCAATTTATTTTTTGTTTGTTTAATTAATTGAAATATTTTTAAATTGTTTTTCAACTACGCTTTTTTTTCTTAATATCGATATTTCGATGTAATCGTTTAAAAAATGTGCACATAGTATATCTTCGCTATAGTATGGTTTGAAAATGTCAAAGGTAACTAAATTTTAATTAAGCAAAAAAAAAAACATCTTATTTATACATAATTGAATCAATATTCTCTAGAAGTCCTCCATTAGTCCGGTTTCTAATAGTTCAGGATATTGCTATATATAAATACATCAATACGGCTTCGATCAGTGCAAATTCGCTATAGTAAGGTTTGAAAATATCAAAGCAAACTAAATTCAAATTGAGCAACAAAATACAGCATTTTTCTTTGTACATAAACAAATTTATTTACTCTTTAAAGTCTTCGATTAATTCTGTTTCAAATAGTGCGGGTTATTGCTATACATGAATACAGCAATATCTCGAATAGTTCGGCTTCGATCAGTGCCCATTCGCTATAGTACGGTTTGAAAATTTCACTGAATATTAAATGAGCAACAAAAATCAACATTTTATTTATACATAAATGAATTAATATTCTCTAGAAGTCCTCCATTAGTTTCTAATAGAGCGGAATATTTCTATATATATAAATACATCAAAACCTCGCATAGTGCGGATTCGCTGTATACAATTTGAAACTTTCAAAGCAAATTAAATTTTCATTGAGAAAAAAAAAGCAATATTTTATTTATACATAAATTAATATTCTTTGATTAGTCCGGTTTCCCACAGTGTGGGATATTGCTATAAATAAATACATCAATACCTGGCATAGTGCGGCTTCGATCAGTGCGGATTCGTTATAGAACAATTTGAAAATTTCAAAACATACTAAATTCTAATTGAACAAAAAATACAACTTTTTTTTGTACATATTTTCTCTTTAAACTTCTTGACTAATTCGGTTTTAAATAGAACGGGTTCTTGCTATACACGAATACAGCAATATCTCGAATAGTTCAACTTCGATCAACATTTTATTTATACATAATTGAATCAATATTCTCTAGAAGTCCTCCATTAGTCCGGTTTTCTAATAGAGCGGAATATTGCTATATATATAAATACATCAATACGGCTTCGATCAGTGCGAAATCGTTAAAGTAGATTAATTCGGTTTCAAATAGTGCGGGTTATTGCTATACATGAATACAGCAATATCTCGATAGTTCGGCTTCGATCAGTGCGCATTCACTATAGTCAGGTTTGAAAATTTCACAAAATATTAAATGAGCAACAGCAACATTTTATTTATACATAAATGAATTAATATTCTCTATAGAGTCCTCCATTAGTCCGGTTTCTAAAAGAGCGGAATATTGCTATATATATAAATACATCAATAACTCGCATAGTACGGATTCGCTATATACAATTTGAAACTTTCAAAGCAAACTAAATTTTCATTGAGCAAAAAAAGCAACATTTTATTTACACATAAATGAATTAATATTCTTTGATTAGTCCGGTTTCTCACAGTGTGGGATATTGCTATAAATAAAAATATCAATACCTGGCATAGTGCGGCTTCGCACAAAAATACACCATTTTTCTTTGTACATAAACGAATACTTTTATTCATATTAATAATAAACAAATTTTAAATTAAAAATAAATTGTTTCAATTTATATGTAAGGAAATGTGTTTTTCTTTTACAAATTTTGTTTTAAGCCCTGAATTAAAGTCAATTGGTTTATTTCCTTGAATAATTAATCTCGTTTCGTGCGCAAAGAAGATAAATTCATGAAATCTTTTATAGCCAAAAAAAATAAAGTAACTTTATCTAATGCACGAAGAGAATGAGCTCCACTCATTCCTCACGTAACGAGATACAAAAGAACATAATGCACAAAGGGCCTAGGAGAGCAGCTGCCTCACAGACGTTTCCATATTTATGAAAAAGTTTCTACAGTTGTATCCGCAAAGATAAAACGTAATTTTTTCATTAAGAGAAAAGACAAAATTACAAAAAAAAATATTCAATTAGTACATTGAACATTTATAAGTTTGAAGTTTATAATTGTATTCAATGTAGTAAATTATATGTGTAGACTTTAGTCAACAAGCTTCGATTTTGGACTGTTTCAAACCGCACTAATCGAGGAACTAAATGTATACAAATAGTAAATCGTACAAGAAGATATTTGTCTCTATAGATAGAGGAAAAAAACGATTATAGAAACAAAAATAAAGTTATGTATAGAATTTTGGCAGGCTTATTGTAATTACTATTAGATTAATATTGCATAAAGTTTGGAAGTACGAAGCACACTGTAATTAGTGAAATTTTCTAGTTAAAGCAAATTCAAACAAAATTTATCTCGTGTTATCTGAATCTTTTTTTTTATCTGAAACGTTTTCATCCTTAAATATTTAGTTACTGAAAATGCTCTAGCTTTCTCCGTACACAACTTAACGACTTGCAAACAAAGGCTAATAATTATTAAACTTTTTAATGACGTTGTGATAACATTAATTACTATTTTATTCTTAAGATTAAATCTGATGATGTTTAAAACGAAAATTCTAATATTATTAATTCAAGATGTGACCTTTCAAACTAGTGCTAATAATTAATTTAATATTCAAACAACAACAAAAAAAAATGATGATTTTTTGAATTTAGCTATGAATTACTTAATTTGTTTTTATTAAAAACATCATTTAACTCAATTAATATTTAATAATGAAATAATGAAAGGTCGTTTGTTTTTTGACGAATTCCAAACTCTTCTGGTTCGTACGCATTTCAATGTAGTAGAGAGGAGAGGCGCACAGATGTCGGTGCTTAAAAATAGATGAGGATTTTCAATTGAAAAGACTCGCAGCGAAACGGATGAAGTGATTAAAGCGAGTCCGCAGCGGATTCATTACGAAACACCAAAACACCGAACGCAGCGTATGCTTTTCATCTGCATCGTCTCTTCGTAAGTCAAGGCAAATTGCGAACAACTATTATAACGTGACTGAATCGACATGAATCATGTGCGGTGACTCCCACCTGTCGATCAGCATTCGATACCGATTTCACAATAGAACACAATTTCCGATATGCAATAGAATTCTTCGCATTTCTAACCGATTTATTCGTTTGTCCTTCAAATAAACATTAATTGAATATTACTAATAACCAAAGCTCATTCTATTTGTGTACTGTTCTGACAGAAGCCACCCCTGTTCTAATTTATTGAATTTGGCGTTCAATGACATAAACACAATCACCTGAAAACGAATGCAGTGTGATCAAAATCTAGAATATTGCACAGTAGTGCCTCGTATAGTGCCGGTAATCTGTTTGAAACCGGACTATTCTGTGTTTTAACATCATAACGTATTATTTGCTATTGAGAATTCGCATTATGCGAGGTATTACTATACTATATGCAAATCTGGAATAATACCGTTACCAAAGAGAAAACAATACTGATTTAAGAAATGCTACATTCTGTTTAACTAGGAATACAGCAATACCTCGCACAGTGCGGGTAATCAGTGTCGAACCATTTGAAACCGGACTAATCGAGGAACTAAATAAACCGCAAAAAAGACATTTGATTGAATAAAGAAAGAAGAAAAAATGTTTATTATTTATAATCGTTTTGATCAATGAAAATCTAGTTTGCTTTGAAATTTTCAAATTATAGTGAATCCGCACTATGCGATAATACTGTTACTAAACTGCTGTAAAAACAAATCAAGAACTTTCAATTACTGTTGCTAAAGAGAGAAAACAATGTTGATTTAAGAAACTATACATTAAGACAAGTTTAATTAAATTTTAAATTAATTGTTAATAAACTTGTATGTAAAACAAGTGTTATATGTGTATATTAAGAAATCAAAGTGCGAACGTCATTTTAATAATCAAATCAAAAAAATAATAATCTTATTCTTAGAACTTGTGTTGTATTTCATTTAATATTATGAATTGTTGAATGATAAAGCAAAAAAAAATTGAGGAATTTCTATATTTAAAAGTGTATTCTCGTTATCCTGACTTACGCAATCCAGGGTAAGGAAATTAAGAATAGAAGATTGATTTTGTATGTA